CTTGATGATTCACCCATAATTAAGGGACTCACCCCTAACTAAGGGACTCGCCATTAACTAAGGGATTCGCCCGTGACCGAGGGACTCACCCTCAACTAAGAGACTCACCCTTAACTGTGAAACTTATTTCCATCTCCGAGACTCGTTTAAAAGGAAATGGAAGATGTGATTAATAACTTTTACCTTTACAAATTCTCGTGCTTTTGAAGGAATGTGTAGTGATATATTTGTAAAAGACTCGCATGAGGCGACATAATGATCTGTCCATGTTGGGCACCCACCTAAGGAGTGACACATATGCATGATTTCCACTCACTAAATCACCCACCCTAATAGGAAATCGTGGATGGTGACGTGTATACATTACACTACCATGTGTGAAAGAAGTCATGGTCATGATTCCTTGAGAAATAGACAGCCATCAGGTTCTTTAGCCAAAGAGAGATGATTGTTAATTCTTATAAGCCCCCCAAATCCAAGTCCATGAACCCATATGAATACCTCACCCTTAGAGTGGAGGATAACAATCTCACATTCACAGAAAACACCTTTAAAACAAGGTTTCTCACCCTCGCGAGCTTTTCATAACACCATATAAATACTAAATCATCCAGTAACCCCTACCAGTCTATAGTTGCTTTGCATTTTTACTTTTTTAGCAAGTACATCTATCATTTACATTATTGCTTTTATTTTCGTCATTTTTATTTGTGATTTTAACAACATTAACATAAATTTATTTTTGAGTAATCAAACCTTTAAATTAATCACAACTTTTAAATACCATAATTCACCCCCTTGTGTTTGGAGTTACTTGTCCAACATAGAGTTCTTTAATAACTCCATTGAATGCCACTTGAAAATAGGAATTTCCCTCTAAAGATAGGCTTTGACAACTTGACCTCCAAGCACCACAAGTTGATCACCACTTTTGACGAAGACTTCACATCATAGTTTTGTCATAATCGAAACCAAATAGGAATTAATCACGACTTTAGACAAAAACTTCACATCATAATCAAAACCAAAAACTTCACATCATAATAAATTTGTTAGATTGAAAAAAAATTAATATTATATTATTCAAATTTGGTTTCTATCTTTATTGAAAAATATGATAGATATAGATTTGATGTGATGTTAAAGTAAAACATTAATGATGGTTACTTTTGGGAAAGTTTGCTTCAAATATAAGCAAAAAATATTGAAGTGAAAGATGTAGATATACTGATTTTTTAGGGTTGAAAATATCTGTATCCATTACATTTAAAATGATATAATATTGTCAGTGGTTTTGGAAGAGTGGTTTTGGAATATTTTGAGTTATTAAGTGGATAAATGAGATTAATAATGATGATAATAAATATTAATAAATAACAATATTAATAATAATAATATCAATTTATTCAATTAAATAAAACCTATGGCAGAGTTAGTTAGAGTATTAAAAAGAGTTTTTTTATGTTGTCGAGGCAAATTTATTAAATTGCAAAATGGTAGGGTTAGTTAGAGTATTAAAAAGAGTTTATTACGAAATTACTTATAGGAACATAAAATTAGCTATATTATGGATTGTAATTAGGGTAATTAAGTAATTATGGTGGTAATTAACTTTTATATATTAAAAGTAGATTCATTCGTAAACTAGAATTTAAGAGACATAATTTAGTTGAAGAAAAAACTTCAAGATGAATAAATATTCAACCTTTAGAGAAAAAATACCTTTTCTAGAAAACTTGAAAACTCAATTTTTTTTTCTTTGTGAAGAATAGTAAAACCTTTCAAAATTCAATAATTCAATAAAGAGATAGAAATTTATTTTTTTATCCTAGTCTATCACTCTTCAAAGAGTAAGTCGATAAACATTTTGATTGAAGCTACTAGTAATATATCCGTGCATAATAAATTTATTTTATATCGTATAAAATATATTTAAATATTTATCTAAATTTGAAATGATGTATTTAATTATAAATGAATGATGTTCGTATAGATTCAATTGAATTAAATAACAATAAAAAACAAACTTGTAAGGTTGAGGAAGAAAAAAATTGACATTTAAAAATAAAGATTTTGTTTTTTAAATAAAGATAATTATTGATTAAAATAAAATAAATATTATGTTGATAGTGACTGGTAAGATAAAAAATTAACTACCAAATATAATCTAATTTAATAAAATAAATTATCAATTTTATTTTTAAAAAAATATTAATAATTTTTATAATAATAAATAAATAAAATTGATTAAATATATTTGTAAAAAATATAAAAAAGTAATCATACATACTAATCTTCTCAAATAAATTAATAAGTATATTTCCATTTGTTGATAGTAAAAATTTATCTCATAAAATTACACAATATATATTTTTAATGTGATAATTATTACCACGAATATATATACGAGTGCTAGGAACACTCTCTTTTTAACATTCTCTCAAACACTCACTCTTTTATTGGGTGCAATACATATGAATCCATCATTTTGAAAATGGATTCCACATAAAGTGATAGAACTCACCTATGTCTCAACCAATAAAAAGATAAGTGTTTGAGAGAGTATATATTAAAAAGAGAGTGTCACTTTTATATATATATATATATATATATATATATATATATATATATATATATATATATATATATATATATATATATATATATATATATATATATATATATATATATATAAAATTATATAATATCAAAATAAAATAAATTTGTGCTAATTATTTCTCAATTGTTAGATCAAAATTGAATTTGAACTCTCTCCTAAAAATTATGTAAAGTTGAATTAGAATTTCGACGACCAATTTTTATGCAACTTTGTCTAATCTTTTGTGTCACTTTTTGTTTCAATGTGTTGAAATTTTGCTACCGTAAAACTATTATTTTCATCTTAATATTAAATTTTATTAAATTGTATTTTAACATTTTCCTCTTAATAATTGTATTTTACTAAATTTTATGTATTACTTATAATAAAATTTCTTTTTAACTACTTTATACACTTCATTCTACATTAAAAATTATTGCATAGTTGGATTTTCATAAGAAATTGAAGTATTATAAATCATTTGACTTCTTATACTTAAACTTCCCCCCAAAAAAAAAACACATAATGCTTACTTGACCAAACATGGTTGAAAAGATAATATCATTGTTAATGAAAATACAATCCATTTGAATATGAGCAATACATTAATAAAAAAATAAATTAATTATTGACATCAATATAGAAAAATTAGAAGTTCATTTTGTATATGAAAATACAATTCAGCTGAATATGAGTAATACATTAAAATAAATTAATTATTGACATCAATATAAAAAAATTAGAAGTTCATTTTGTAGAATATTTCAAGTGCAATATCAAACCCATAAAAAAAGATTAACTCATCAACATAGTCATTCAGTGAAGTTAGAAAGACAAGTTAAAACCAAACCTCTCAATATTCAAATTCACATGATCTAAATTTCAATTATAGTATGATGTGATTCATTACTAAAAAAAAAGTTAAAACTAATTAGAAGATTGAGTGTCTTTTTGAAACCAAACCAACAATTTTTTTTGGAAAAAATACACACTACAACTTGAAAATTAACTCCTTCAAAACATTTTTATTGAGAATAAGTCAATTAATTGATATTAATTATCAAAATTAATACTATGTCAATGAGAATAACTACCTTTTATGATTGTATAAAAAGATTGTAAAAAAAGTTATATAAAAAGGAAAATAAACTTATAAATTGGATTAAATATATTTTGATAGGATTGTGTACTACAGACATTTTTATAATTTTTTCACTGGAAATATTTTCTTTCATGTATAAGTATAACTTAAAATCATTGCAACATATCAAATCACAAATTAGTTTATAAATCACAAATGCTCAAGTAACATCATACTCCAATCCAACTCCTTCAAAATATTATACCTTATGAATGCAACATGAAAAATTGCAGTAAAGAAAGCACCTTATTATCATTTATTTATACATCCAAGGTCTATTGACCAAGTTAGCATCATGCTTTAACCACAACCATCTAAATCAGAATCTAAATTTCATTGAAAATACAATTGATTTCACACAAATTTCAACTCATTTTATAGGAAAATTGTAAATACTTGATATGCTTTAAGTGAATGATCGGCCACCTTTTTTTTTTATCACCGAATTTAAATTTAGCTAAATAGCGATGATAATCACCTTTCCTACATCCAAACAGATATTTTGATTGAAGCTATTAGAATGTAATAAATGGACTTATGAACGATAAAATATAAACATGCTCTAATTTAATCATGACTGTTTTTGAGAGTGTTTAAAATAAACTACAACACATAGTTTCAAATTCGCTAGAATTAAACTGGCTAAATAATCTTATAATATATTTTTCATGATTAAATTAAACCAATACTAAATAAGACTCTAATTATTTTATAATAGTTGAAGCTCAACTAATTTGTATATGACCTCTAAAAATATAAAACACTCATGCATTTAGTTATTTATAAATTTGAGAGAATAAAATCAAAAACCCTCACCATTTTGGTTTTTAGCAATGTTGAATAGATTTAGACAAAGCTAAAATCAATTCAAATTTTCTTATAGAAAACAACTCTAATGATTGGTCACATATATTTCACTTCTTTCAATGTTTTAATTACTTTAATTTCTTTCAAATTTTATCACAAGTTTCACATTTAATTTTTAATAAAAAATATTTAGATAGGGTTTGGGCGCGGGTTCATGCATACACGTGTGCCTATAAAACCTTCCTCACATTCATTCCATCGTCACTTTCATTCTCCCTCAAAATTTGATTTTTCTTGCAGACTCTTTGAACCCTAACCGTAACAAATCAAACCTTTCTCCAAATCCTTCTTCTCGCAGGTATTCGCCTACTCTGCTCTCTTTACGTGTTCTTGTTTAAACCCTAGTTTGATTTTCAAAATTAGGTCCAATTGACACTGTTTGATTTGCAGATAATGGGAGAAACCAAGGACGATGTTTACGAAGATGAGCTTCTCGACTACGAAGAGGAAGATGAAAAAGTTCCTGATTCTGTTGGACCTAAAGTTAACGGTGAATCAGGAAAGAAGTAAGTTTTCTATTGCTTCTATTGTGTGCTGAGTTAGGATTCATTAATTTGAACTGTTGATGAATTTGGATTTGTAAAGTTGATTTTTTTATTGTTTGTTGAATGGGGTTGACATTTTCATTTTGGTGGAGTTAAATTTGATGTTGTGTATTTTTGTATTCATCTGATTTTTTATGGTTATTTTGATTTTTTCAGGGGCTATGTTGGGATCCACAGTTCAGGATTCAGAGACTTTCTTCTAAAGCCAGAGCTTCTTCGGGCTATTGTGGACTCTGGATTTGAGCATCCTTCCGAAGGCAAATTATCTGCACCCTTATATTTAGTTATTGTTTCGTTGTTCGAGTTACTGTAATGATTTGGGAATTTGAGATCTAGAGTAGAATGGTTGATATTTGTGTTTTTCTTCACTTCCATCTTGTGTGTTTTTTCTTAATTTCTGTCTTGTATTTTTATTTTTATTTTATACTTTTAAGTTTCTCTTGGCTACTGTAATGATTTAGGAGTTTGAAAGCTAATTGTGTTCTGAATCTTTGTTTTAAACTATATTTTTGGTTTAGAATAGAATTGTTGACAGGTTAGCTCTTTCTTCACTTCCACGTCTTGTATGTTTTTTCTTAATTTATATTATGTCTTTTTAAAATTTTAAAAGTTGCTCCTGGTTATCAACATTGATCAAAGGAACTTTCCCTTTACATTTCTCTTCTCCCATCATCTTTCTCTGACTCCCCTGCGGGGATCCCTCATGTAGCACTTTACCTCCCCTTGGTCCTATCTGGATCTAGGGCCAGATATAATTGGGATCAGATGTTAAAAAGATTAGTTTTTTTTTATCCATCCTTGTTGCAAGATTTCTCAACTTAAAATATCTGTCAAGCTATCATTCTTCCAGTGATATATTTGTTTGATGTTGTTAGTTATTATAATTGTAACCCTTAAATATCTGTCAAGCTATCATTCTTCCAGTGATATATTTGTTTGCTGATGTTAGTTATTATAATTGTAATCCTTAAATATCTGTCAAGCTATCATTCTTCCAGTGATATATTTGTTTGCTGATGTTAGTTATTAAAATTATAATCACAATTTCACTGAACTTGTGTATTTTTGTTATTTTTTTTTAATTATTTTGCAGGTAATACATCTATTATAATCTTGTTTTGGAGAACTATTGTGCTTTGGTAACTCTATCAAATCAAATTAAAAGGGTCAGAAAGATTTTTTTACTGATCACTGGTTTCTTCAATCACCATTTTCTTTGGTCAATACCAGTACAACATGAGTGCATACCTCAAGCAATCCTGGGAATGGATGTTTTATGCCAAGCAAAATCTGGAATGGGAAAAACTGCTGTTTTTGTTTTATCAACTTTGCAGCAGATTGATCCTATTCCAGGCCAAGTTTCTGCTCTTATTCTGTGTCATACAAGGGAATTAGCCTACCAGGTATGTATCCCGGATTCTATAAATGTAAGCAAATGGATCTTTGTATTCTTGTAGCTTCTAACTTAAGATATATGTGCAATCTCTTTCCTATAGATATGCCATGAGTTTGAAAGGTTCAGCACCTACTTGACTGATCTCAAGGTTGCTGTCTTCTATGGTGGTGTTAACATTAAAGTTCACAAGGATCTGTTGAAAAATGAATGCCCTCAGATTGTTGTTGGTACACCTGGAAGAATACTAGCATTGTCCAGGGATAAGGACCTTTCTTTGAAGAATGTCAGGCATTTCATTTTAGACGAATGTGATAAGATGCTGGAATCACTTGGTATGTTTAATTGATGAACAGTAGTTCTTCTGACTTGATTCATTCTTTTTCACTTCCTATGATTTATTGGTTTTCATTGTCTTCATTGTAATATCTCTAGACATGAGGAAAGATGTGCAAGACATTTTCAAGTTGACTCCCCACGATAAGCAAGTTATGATGTTTTCTGCAACACTCAGCAAGGAAATCCGCCCAGTCTGCAAAAAATTTATGCAAGATGTAATGTCCTGTGGCCAGTATTACTTATTAGAAGTCTCTTTTTTATGATGCTCACATTTACCGAGAGCATTTTAGATATTTAGAGGGCCATGTTTTCCTCAACATTTGCTATTGATAATAGATTTCTGTTTGGGTAGTGCCTTTTTAATTCCAACAGTTTTTATGGGAACAGCTCTTGGGAAGGATTGTGGTTGTGTTGGCCGGGGATGGAAGTTTTAGATGGAACTGTTTTAGATAAGCGCCTGATTGTGGTTGTGGTTCTTCTCCTGCCACATCTTTCCTCTTTTTATTTGGTGTTGGAAGTTAGTTGTCTCAACTCTCAATTGGCCTTTTCTCTGATATGGGTTTTCACAACTTAGGATACTGTCTAGTTTTCACTGTTGAGGGAAATAGAGTTAGTGTATTCTGGGTAGGGGGTATGTTTGAGGCGGTATTGTTAGTTAAGTGTTGGTGTTTCTTGCAAGGGCTGATTAAAAAGAAGCATCAGCAAGGAGACAACAAGTGGATCAGAACTGTGATTCAGGGTTCTGCATCCGTCATTGATTTCGTTCTGGATTCCATTATCTTGAGGAAGGCACCTAATATGATTTACTGTGACATTGTTCCTTTCAGCCCATGGAAATTTATGTTGATGACGAAGCAAAATTGACCCTTCATGGTCTTGTTCAGGTGGGTCTTTTGCTGTTCACGTGTTTTATTCATTTCATTCTCTGAAATAATTTGGTATGAGCTGCGTGGCTTACTTTGGCTATTGAAATGTCAGCACTACATCAAATTGAAGGAGGAGGAGAAAATCCGGAAGTTGAATGATCTTCTTGATGCACTGGACTTCAATCAAGTTGTGATCTTCGTGAAAAGTGTTAGTAGAGCAGCTGAGCTGGACAAACTACTTGTGGAATGCAACTTTCCATCTATATGCATTCATTCTGGAATGTCCCAGGAAGAAAGGTTAGTATTATGTGACATCTTTTCTTCATTAACATTTAACTGATGAGCGTGGCTTGCTATCACATATTAGAGAAAGCATATGAATGCTAACCAATGTTTTAAAAACTGTACGGAGATCAAATCGGTAAGAGTTCATGGTTCATGGTTCAACTGGTTTAACCACATTTGAATTGTATAATGCATAAAGAAATAAAGTGTTAAGCTTCACTTATTATTGACACATGTTTTACTCTTTTCTTTTTGAAAAGAATTAAATTTAATATTTTACTGCTTGATAAAATGCTATTATTGTTTTAGTTCATATTGTTTTGTATGTATTTATTGGTCGGTGTTGTAATGAGTGTCACATTCCCTCTTTTAAAAAAGAAAGAGCAAGCCCCTTTATTTTACTATCTCATTCTACTTATTTTTTTTTCTTTGGTTTTTTGATTACATACATTTTGCCTTTTTATGTTATTTACATCATTTGATTTAATATGCAGTAAATTTTTTTATTTGATTTAATTATTTATGTGGGCCCAAGTCTACTCACACAAGCCTAATTTCCTAATTGCATCTGTTGTGAAATGTTAAAGCTGCCAGACCTCCTTTCAACTTCAAACTCCACATCTCTTCATTTCTTTTTCAACCTCAATCTTTCTGTCCCTCTGCATTTTTTTCATTCATACCATTCTTAACATCAAACTGCATTGAAATAGAAAAAGAGAGAAAGAATGGATCTACCGGGCATTTTTTCTTACATCTAGTTTTCTTCTTGCCTCACAAACCCAATATCTCTTTTTTTTTTTGTTGCTCTACACATTATCAGATTGTAAAAATAAATAATAGTTTTCTGTCACAGATTTTCTTGACCGTCTGGTTTTCTGTGACCGGTCTCAGTTACTTGGTAATGGTCGGTTCTTTCAGGTTTAGACGGTTCTTATTGCCTTACCAAATTATACTGGACTCCTTTCCGCAGTTTGGCCGGCCGATTTCATAAACATCGGTGATATTGCTTAGTGTTGGATAAATATTAAAGTTGAAGGGTGTGTAACTGGTGTTGGAGTTTTTAAAAGTCCAGTCCTACGTTTCTGTCAATTATCCTTTTTCGTGTTGTATTTTGCATAAAATAAAAAATGTAAGAAACAACCGATTCTTACTTGATATTGCAGAATAGTTGCCTGGATATTTATGAATGAAACATTTGATGATTAAGTTGCTTGGATATTTATGAATAAAATAAAATCTTCGATACACTTGCAAACACACATTGATTGCATTCAATGATTCTGAAGAAATTGTCAACACAAACAGATAATAGTTATACCATACATATGCCATTACATGCTGCTTGAGATCAACCTTCAGGTGGCTAAATAGAACTGATTATTCAATTCAATAGTCGAACTCTCTAACCTGTTTGAATTCTCAATTGGGACACGAGATATTGAGGTTGAAACAGTGGTATATGTTGTGGCATGATTTCACTGTTTTATGTGATAGATGTAAGATTAAAAGCCAATAATGATTTCTCTAAATGATACAAATCACTTGCTTTCCTTGATTTGAACTGCAATCCGTATGGTTTTAGCAGCCATGTTACCATTTGCACTGCAGCCTTTTGTTTCATTAATGTCGGTCAATTAATTGATTTGGTGTTCTGTTTGCTCTTGTTTGAATCCTAAACTTGCAGCAGAAGAAATAATTGGTTAATAAAGTTGTGTCTGATCTTGATCTATCCATGGCTTGTGCAGGTTGAAGCGTTATAAGGGTTTTAAGGAGGGGCGTACAAGGATTCTTGTAGCAACAGATTTGGTTGGCAGGGGAATTGACATTGAGCGTGTGAATATTGTGGTAAACTATGACATGCCTGACTCTGCAGACACATACTTGCACAGAGTATGATTTTGATGATCTTATCTTTTTCCAGTTTAATTGTTAAGTTTAGTTTACACGTTTCATATTATAGTCGAGAGTCATTAATTGTCATTTCATTTTGGATGAAATTTGTAAACAGGTTGGCCGAGCTGGAAGGTTTGGCACCAAAGGCCTTGCAATCACATTTGTTTCATGTTCATCCGATGTTGATGTTCTCAACAATGTAAGACAATTTAGTCTCTTTTTTGTCACTATTTGTTCAGTATCACTAGAAAGCAGCCATGGCGGTGCCGTAATTCAGTGTATCAGAGTTCATATATGGTGTCGAGGGTTATTGAAGGCAGTGGCGAGGCAGATCGCTCTGCCCTTATTCCGGATTATTTGAGTTTTTTGTTTTATTGTTAAACCAAGTGCTAACCTTGTTTATCATCTCCATTCTCCAGCATTAACCACATCATTCTTTCTAACTTAATCCCAAAAATATCCATAATAATATCCAGTCTGTGCGACATGTGCCCAGTTTTCTCGTTGTTACCTGACTTGTAGTGATAGTATCACCTCAAGATTTGTCAAGAACATGAAATGAGTTGTACTAATGTAAGGGATATATCTAGAAAAAGAATTAGGGTTGGAGGGAGTAGTTGTATTATGCAGGCAGATATATTTGTATTGCAACATTTCCATATATTTGTATTATTGCAACCCCATCTGCCATAATTCTTGCTGAGCATTTGGCTTCCTTTCAACACCAACTGTCATTTACATTTTTCATTTGTTGCGTATTCCAGGTTCAGTCTCGGTTTGAGGTGGATATAAAACAGCTTCCAGAGCAGATTGATACATCTACATACAGTATGTTTTTCCTTATCATTCCATTTCCATTATTCTTTGATCATCTTCATATGTTGTATGTCTATGTCAAGTTTTGGACATTCACCCTTCCTAGGAATGTCACTATCTTTTACTTCTCCCAGGGGCTGCATTGATGTCATGCCGTGCTTCTTTCTGCCTTCAATTTCTTGACAAGTTTTCCCTTTTTATCTTCTAAATTTTGCAGTGCCATCGTAATAATCTATTGTGGTAATCCTACAATCAATTGGAAGGGATGAAATAGCTTTTGCAGATCAATTCTATCTTACTGTCCAGCCAAACAAGGCTCTTAGAACTGGTGATTCACCTTGTAGTTTCCTAGTCCATGTACTTCTATTGGCCCGTGATGCCGTTTTGTCATTGGTATTTGGGTTTTGCGATATGACTGCCTACAAATATGTGGATTAATTTTCTGTATCATGTAGGTTTTTTCTCTTAAACGTTTGATTATGTTTTCATGAATTTATCTTTTAATTAATTGGACTGTGTAGTTTATATCCTGGATGAAAACCCACCAGGCTTTTTAATTTACTAGTCTTTTGCGTGAATGTCGGCAAGACATTTATGCATTAGGGTAGCCTAATTAGATTATTCTAGTAATGCATTTTCAGATTCATTACATCCCACAATTACATAGTATGAGTGTATGTTTTCACGAATGAATTTGGGGAATACTCATCCCAACACTACTTTTGGGGTGCTTCCACGCCAGGGTGAAAATTTCATCATAATTGGCTATAGAATTTGGAGATGCGTCTCAAGATTGATCATCATTTTTACACATCCGTTTGTGAAGACATACTTACACCGATAGTTTAGATTGTTGAGATACTCTTATTTTGATAAAATTTAGTTTGGAGACATCTTGTACAAATCTTTAAATTCAGTATCATTGAATTTTTTGAAATGCATCTCTAGAATATACTCGGTTTATACTCGGTTAGGTCAAACCAATGACAATAAAAAATAATGACAAAATGTTAGAAAAAATCATATAAATTAACATCAAAATACATAATATTGTATAAATAATTATTAACATAAATTTAACATTATATTTTATTATAAATGAGTGGTCGCAGATGTTGCAACATACTTAGAATATTTTTGATTGATTTTGCAATTCTCGCATTCACATCCATCAAATCCTTTGATATATAATGGTAAAATGTGCTTTACTTAATTTTTAAATCCTTTACTTAATTTTTAAATCCTCATCTATCTTTACTCACCACATGGTGAGTAATATGAACGATCGAACAAGATGCATAGACAATACAATAGTCTTTCAATTAACCTTTTGGTGATAACTTACATATGGTGAGATGTCCAATCAATTCATTTTATGATAAACTCGCCTAGACTCGAATAGTTCTTAATTTTCAAGATAAAGATCTCAGTTCTTAATCCTCATATTTGTGATGATATCTCTCTTGTGCCCGTCTGTCCGCTTATTTTTCTATGTTGTGCGCATTAAGAAAATATGCAAGTAACTTCGCACATAATATACACACGTTTATTTTTCTATGCTGTGCGCATTAAAAAAAAGTGTGTGTGTGTATGTATGTATGTATGTATGTATGTATATATATATATATATATATATATATATATATATATATATATATATATATATATATATATATATATATATATATATATATATATATATATATATATATATATATATATATATATATATATATTAAGGATAATATAAATATCTGGACCGATCAAATGAGAAAAATTTTTAGATAGTGATAATGATAATCCTAAAATACTGAAGTGTAGAAATAAGTGACTAACACTTGTTGACTTGTGAATCTTTCTCAAGCGATACTCTTAATGCCTTAAACACATTCTAGATGGCAAAAAGAGATAATATGCTTGTTGTACAATATACCAGGGGACCATAGTTTATATATAGAATGATGACAAACTATGATTACCATTATTCCAAAATAAGCCATGTGATATCCACTCATATTTAAGTTTATATCCAACTTATTAATTAATTAAATAATTAATTTTTCAATAAATATCTAATTAGCTTTTTTAACTTTATTTAACAACTTAATCAATAAAGACTATTGCTGTGATAAATAACTAATATATATATATATATATATATATATATATATATATATATATATATATATATATATATATATATATATATATATATATATATATATATATATATATATATATATATATATATATATATATATATATATATATATATATATATATATATATATATATATATATATATATATATATATATATATATATATATACACCTGTTAAGAGTCCCACATCGGATAATATATGGAATGAATATGTGTTTATAAGTGGAGGTAATCCTCACTCTACCAGCCGATTTTGTAGGGTTGAGTTAGGCCCAACCATATTTCTTAACATGGTATCAGAGTCTCGTTTAAGATCCGGTGGACCACCTTCTATGATTTCCGCTATCGGACCATTTCCACGCTTCAGTTGTCCAGTCCTGAGCGTGAGGGGGTGTGTTAAGAGTCCTACATCGGTTTTGTAGGGTTGAGTTAGACTCAACCACATTTCTTAACAATACCCTTATAATAAATATTGAAATATAATAACTAAACAATATTTAAATATAAAATATTTCAACAATCTCTCATTTGAGCGATATATTTTTTTAATAATTATATCAGTTCTTTAGGCGCACGCATCCGAATGCTATTTATCTTTAAATTTTGAACGTTTCACACTAGTCCACCTCATGCATCAATATTGGAACCACTGCGGCTGTCGTTACCGACGTATAATGTGACAGAATCCTGATGACCACCACATCAATATACTTGATGACATAGATCAATATGGAAACTTCATGTAATATGATATCCAAATCATGTCTATTTCCAACTAGTCCAACTAGTCTTTATTGAGATTAAACTAAAGTTTGCAAATTTAATATTTGCACAAACGAAACAAAAATAATAACAATAATAACTTTATAAACTTTATTTCTACAAATAATCTTAACATAAAGTCTCTATCAATATCAAGACAATATTATAAAATATAAAGAAAGAGCGTCTCCCACTAATCTAAGACATCATTAGTGACAACAATCATATAAAAGACCTTATATGTCAAGTCTTTGATTAGTGATTCTTATAGCTTAAATTTCAGATGTATATATTTTAGTTTCAACAATAATAACTTAAACGTCAATAAACATTTCCAAAACTATTGTTGAAGCACTATATGACTATCTTACAACACAATATAACTTGAGTGTTCTTTCAAAGACTTGTATTGAATTGTAACCAAATGACATAAATAATTACCTTCATTTATTCTATATTAGAATGCCTATTCAACATCTAAAATATCGGAGTCGAACACATTTTTTATATTCAATTCAACAATTCAATATTAATTTATTCAAGTGTACACAATTTACATATATAAAATTTACTTTAAGGTACTCAAATTCTTACAACCAAAGCCTAAGAAAGTACTCAAATTTTCAAATTTCTAAATTTACTTTAAGGTAGTTATAATTGAGACCTAATAATCTCTCTTAGTAATTGAAATATCTCAAAGATTATTGTATTTCATGTTGGATTTAATTTTAACTTCATTGATGAAACTCTTTTGTGATATCCAAAGAGTACATTGAGAATAATCTCTAATTACCAAATTAATTTAATACAAAAAAGGTGTTTCCAATATCTTTTTCGGTAAATTTTCATTAGAGATTTCTTGGTTTCACATAATAAACTATACATATTTTTCTTAATACAATAAAATTGACATATGATATAAGAAATATAAACTTACTCCCATTGATTTTATAATATCCACAATTTTTTCTCTTATTCATCTCAAAACCGAATGAGACAACTAACTTTAAAATACTCATCTTAAAATCAAATAACACAATTAACCTCATAATGTTCATCTCAAAACCAAATGAGACAATTAACGTCACACAATTTATCTCAAAACTAAATGAGAAAATTAACTTACGTGACTCTGTGATATCACTAAAGAGATATTTTTGTTAACTCATAAATGAATTTTGTTAATTTGCAAATCATAAACTTTTTGTGTATTGACACAGAGTTTCTCACGAATGTACCATATTATTTAATTAATATTTCAATGAAGAAATATAATCTTAACATTCATCTCATGTAGTTTTAAAACATAAAATGAGCAAAGAATGTCGTGACTAAACATACAGAGAGTTAAAAAAAACCAAATTGATTTCTCTTTATAGCCAGTCCTTTATAACACTTAGAACCCTAGTTCTTGAGGGTATTGAATGTGATCTTCCTAAATCAATTTATCAACTTGCTTGAGAGAAAGAACCATAATGCTATCGTGAGGATACAAATTTAATATATTAATAGTAACTATATGAATTGATTTATGTTAAGAATATTTGTATATAAAATAGTCCCACATCGACTATAACATGTAATTAACTGCTTACTCTCTCTATACAAAATAATCTCCGTAGTGTTTTTTTCTAAAACACACGATTTATTTAAATGTCTCTCACTCTCTTATACTTTAATATGGTATCAAGAGTTTGTTGAGATTCAACTGTTCTCTGTACGTTTCCCGGTTGACCCACTGTCTTTAGATGAGAAATTTTTTTGGGTGAATCATTCCAGTCACCACCATACTGCCGCTGCCGCCATTGCCACCACTGATTCTGGCGACTTTTCGACACGCCACCCTCGCAGATAGAAGCGTATGCCTCGATCCTGCCCGTGCCCATAAAATCACCTTCAACCACAATCACACGCATCGAAAATGTTCATGCGTGAGGGACTCATGCATATCTGTTCGTGCTCTGCGTGACACATTCTCTGCCGCCGTTTTCACCCTCTTACTCAATTTTTCATCCTGATTCTGGACCCGGGCTCAACTTTTATTTTTGATCTATGAAATGTGATTTAGTGTTCAAACAACCTCTGTTTCCTAGTTCTTCACTGTTCTCCCCACCACTAAACGATCTTGTTTGCACGCATTTTAGTCAGATAATCTAATGGAAAATCACTACACCACCAATTCCGTCCCTGTTACCAAAGAAGTTATTATTTTGACAACAGATTACAATGACTTCCTTCAGTTCAAAGCAACCAATCAACAATCATCTTTGGCCATATCGTTGCTCAGTCTGGTAATCCCGTAGC